GAGAAATGGCTCGGTGACATTCAGTCCCTGGCACTGAGGAGCTGGAGACATTAGTTTTCGCAGAACTTCTGAAACAAGGACTGATGATATTAATTGCTGGTGGTTGTATGAGACTTAGGGAATATTTACAGGGGCTGAGAGTCTGCTTCTCAGTGGCTGAAAAATTTAAGCTGTTCCTACCTTGTCCTAATTAAATGCCTTTTGATTTTATGCTCTCAGAAGGTGATGAGTGATTATTCCCCCTCCCCACCCCGCTTTTCTTCCCCTCCTACACAGCACAGGAGCCAACAGAGGTCTGGGAAGGGAATTCCTACATATTGATTTTCTCCAGAAATGCTTGCCCACTCCCTCCTTCCCTTCACTTCAAATGTTTGCTTGCTGTAGCGGTTCCCTGGCTTGTGCTTGATAAAGTTTAAGGCTGTGCCTCCCAAATTTCCCTCATGCAATCCACCAGCTTTTTGCCAGATACATGTTGTTAGAGTATCAAGATTTGCTTTTTCTAGCATGCCCCAGACAGTTATTTTCAGGAACTTCGGAGAGCTCTCCTCATCTTCATGAGTTGTTTTCTAATGGCCTGGTATACATCTCTCTAAGTATCTGAGAAACATGCTCCAAAAGTCTTCCCATGGAAGATCTTAAAAGAACACAGGTAAGAATACAGAGTGGGGAAGGACATGAAGCCCAAGGTGCAAAGACAAAGAGGCTCTGGAATTTTGTAGCCTAAACCACCTTGTGAGAGTTGAAAGGATCACTGAACAAACTGAAGAGATCAAGCTAACAGGATCACTGAGCAAACTAAACAGGCTTCTGGTGTGTCAGCGTTTCTGGATAAGAAGCTGTCATTAGCCCCTGATGTAGCTGTCAGTGCTAAAGGTAACTTGGCAAATGACCTTTTCCCGAGCTGGTTCTTGTGTGATTTCACATGTAGCCATTAAAGGTGGTTCTATGCTTTTATATGCATTAGTATACTAGTGTTCATTTCCTGGTCAGAATCTCCCCTGGGTTTTTTTATTCTCCATTAACATTCCTTCTGGGGGATTGGATTCAGGTCCTTTACTTCCTGCCCTGTTCCTGTTCAGATGTCAATCAGCTGTTGCATTCTATTCCAGTTACATGTTAGCAACCTTAGTGTTTCTTGGGCAATGCTGATCTGCCCTGGCTTTTATAAAAGAGTTAGGGAAGCTGCTCTTAACAGAGCAAAGAGAGTAGGTAATAAAATGCATACATAAGGTTATGGAGTGCAACTGAATTAGGGGGGACTGGGATCTTTGTAATGTGAAAGGAGGGAGCGGGACTGTAAGAAGAATGCGATTCTGATTACTTTTAAGAGAATTCTGCAGGGTGCAATGGGTATGACAGACAAATGATATGTCTGGTGGTATTTACATTCAACAAGAACTATGTAAGACTGTAGAGTCTGGGGATTTAATTTTCTTTGGAAATACGTTAGGTGTTAAGTAGGGCTTGTTAAATGCACTGTTGTTCAACAGCTAGCCTGATCTCTTTTTCTCAATAGTTCCTGGAATTGTTCCCATGTAGGGAACAGAGGTTTATGCCTAACAGTCAAGGTTAATTGGTATGGAAAAGCAGGAATGAGCAATAATCCTCCTGAAACTCGATTTTAATCCAAGAGTCACTATAATGCTATTAGTCAGATCTGAATCATAAGCATTAATGTACAGGCAGAACTGAGATGCAAGTTTCTGCACTAGGAGCTGTCATGCTTTTATTTTAAAATGAGCTTCAAAGTCGCCAGAAGCAGAATGGATCTGAATGTACTTTTAACTGAGATGCCTTCTCTGAATTAAAAGATCTCTCTCATTAAATGTTAAAGTGTCCTTTAATAACCTTGCAGTCCTTTTCCATCATACTCAGCACCAGCAGTCTACAGGTGCTGCTTTTAGCTTCACACAGCCTGATTGTCGGTCCTGGACAAGACCTCTAGATGCAGTTATTTCATCATCCATTTCATAGATCAGTTGTCTTGATCAGGCTTACTGCTGCAGCTTCTCACATAGTCTGGCTTGAGACACTGAGACACATGGAGGCTAAGGTTGCCTCTATCCATGAGCATAGGAAGGCAAGATGACAAGTCTCTTGCTTTTGCTTTTCCTGATGCTAACGAAGATACATTGTCTCCTAAAGCAGGATGTGCCAACATCCTGTACTGGATATGCATTCAGAGTATATGTTGGCCCACACAGAGTAAAAATTCTGACTAGCTGTGGTGTTCAGATATGTGGCACAGGATAGTAGAAGCATTGTTTTTTATGTGTAGATAGAGGTTTCTTGGAGTACACTGACTGAAAGCCAGTGAATGTTTCTTTAGTGTTGCGTTCAACAAGGCCAGGTGTAAGGTCCTGCACGTGGGTCGGCGCAATCCCAGGCACAAATACAGGCTGGGCGATGAGTGGATGAGCAGCCCTGAGGAGAAGGATTTGGGGTATTGGTGGATGAAAAACTGAGTATGAGCCAGCAATGTGTGCTTGCAGCCCAGAAAGCCAACCATATCCTGGTCTGCACCAAGAGAAGTGTGGCCAGCAGGTCGAGGGAGGGGATTCTCCCCATCTACTCTGCTCTCATGAGTCCCCACCTGGAGTGCTGTGTCCAGCTCTGGGGCCCTGAACATGAGGAGGACGTGGACCTGCTTGAGTGGGTCCAGACAAGGGCCATAAGGATGATCAGGGGGCTGGAGCACTTTCCCTATGAGGACAGGTTGAGAGACTTGGGGATTTTCAGCCTGGAGAAGAGAAGGCTCCTGGGAGACCTCATAGCGGCCTTCCGGTACTTAGAGGGGGCTACAGGAAAGCTGGGGAGGGACTCTTTGTAAGGGAGTGTAGTGATAGGACAAGGGGTAATGGTTTTAAACTGAAAGAGGGTGGATTTAGGTTAGACACTAGGAAGAAATTCTTGAGTGTGAGTGTGGTGAGACAGTGACACAGGTTGTCCAGAGCAGCTGTGGCTGCCCCCTCCCTGGGAGGGTTCCAGGCCAGGTTGGACGGGGCTTTGAGCAACCTGGGCTGGGGGAAGGGGGCCCTACCCGTGGCAGGGGGGTTGGATTGGAACTAGATGATCTTTAAGGTCCCTTCCAACCCAACCTATGTTTAGAAACAAATGTGACTGATTCTGTTATGGGATGTATTTTCTCTGTCATACAAGTTTATCATTTTGAATGAAAAGCAAGGTTAAAGAAATGCTGCTTTTAAGAGGAGAAGACTGGAAAGATGACACAATGCCTGTCTCTGCAACATAATCACTATGTTTGTATTAAAGAAGGGAGTCTATTGACCCTGAACACTGGTAATCAGACTGCTTTATGAGGTCAGAAAAGGCAACACAAGAGAATATGATGATGAGGAAAACCCTGCAAGTCCTCTGCTTCTTTGCAGGCTATGTTCAGCTGCTGCAACAGCAGGCAGGTGGAAACCGTGTGCATTCTGGAGCCAAAGCTAAGTATTAGCTACCTCAGACCTCAAGAGACTTGCCAAGTATCAGGAAGACAATAGGTGTCTACAAATGTTGATTTTCTTTCTTCAGTGCTTTCTCTTTTTGTCCAAAGAGTTCCTTTTTGGACCTCTTTTTTTGTATGCTATGGGCCTCTTTCTTGCTACTGGAGACAAAGTGATGCTATCAGTGTTGTGGTTTTGCACGCATGTCAAGGGGCTGTTAGTTCTGTGAGCCCTATATAGAATAGTCTCAAGCAATTCTGTGCCAGATCACATCTGTTCCTGATGTGTGGTAAAGGTTTTGCCTTTCTCAGATCACACAGAGAACATAGCTGCTCTGCAAGCGGATTCTACACTGAGAGATGCTCTCTGGTAAAAACAGCTAGAGTCAAGCTTGTATACTGCCTGTGCAGCTGCACTCAGTCACTGTCACTGCACTCCCTCACGGTGAAGAGCAAAGAAGTTGTGTGTGTTTTGTCTTTGTGAGGGGTGGAGGAATCCTCGGCTTTTTGCATTAACAAAGCAAATTGTTAGGTTTCCACTGCAGTCTTCTGACCCTTTGTGTGCTCATGTCTGTTTGCCTGGAAGATGTGACTATTGCTGATGCTGATCAGTGTGAGCCCAAGCCTTGTAGCCCTCGATGAGCCATTCCAGTGAAGCTGTAACTCTCAGTGAGTTTAGAAATGAGGCTGGAACTACAGTCAGTAGTAGCTAGAAGACAGAAGTAGCTAGTAGAATTGGAGCTACTGCAGACTATAGCCTGCTAGGAAGAGAACTGTAAATGTTAAGGAATGTTACTGATGAAAGATGGAAAGGGCAGATAAAAGGAACCAGGAGGTTAAGTTTCCTCTTGTATTACAGTGCTAATTAGAATAGCTGAAGAGCTACCTCCTGGCTAGCATCCAGGCTCAAGTTGAGCTTCTCCAGGGTAGTCAGAATGCGGACTTGACAGCAAGCTCCTTCAGAGGGAGGCTTGTAAATAGCATGGTGAGCAGAATTATTGCTGTCTTCTATTTCTGCATATTACCTATATCCGATTCTGCTTTGGAGCACAAAGTCCGTCTGTTCTGCAGAGTATATGCCACCTTGGGTTTCTCCCTCTGTGGTAGCAAAGGATGCTCAGGTATATTGTAGGCCAGGAGGACTTAACTGTGCTGTTCAGTGTGGGAAAGTCTGCAGAACAAAATTAGATTGGTGTGGCAGGGTGGTTGGAGCAGAATGACAGAGGCTGGATTCCTGGTGTTACGGGTGGGGAAGCAATGACCCCTGGAGCCATCTATAAAAACCTGCCTTTCAGAGGTCATTTACTGGTCTGTACAGGCATCCTGCTCAGTGGAGAGATGGTTGAAAGACTTTCCTTTTCTGGGGCACAGTGAAGACAAGGAGCTTATTTCACTGGAGGGTGCTGTCATTAAATAGTAGCCTGATGGTGTAGCCGTTTGCTGATGACTCCTGCCCTGGCACCTGGCTGTGGGTCACTCTGCGCATGCCTGGCTGTTTCCATGTGTTGTGCTGATAGGTGACTGACACCAACTTTCCTTTCTCATGTTTCAGGAGCTGTTGGCCAGATGCTGCTGGATGCTGACAGGGGAAAGCTGATTCGGAGACAAGCGGCCAGAAATGTTTGGACACGTCGTCACTTTGGATCTGTAAGTCCTTGTTTGAGGGAAAGTTGCCTGGAGGCACTGTGAGTATTTAAGTGTCTCTGGAAGGTCTCAGATCATGAGGGTAGGTTTCAAATCCTGGTATCTTTTCCAGGTAGTTGGGGATGAGATGGCAGGTAGCATAGTTACTGGCTCTGAGGTAGGAAGCAGGACGGTCCTGTTTGAGCCTGAGGAACTCTGTGCTGAGAGACAGGGAGGCCTTTGACGTGTTCATTCTGAGCACCTCTGCAATGGAAACATGCGTGGACCCATGAGTGCAGCTGTTCCTGGAAGCCTCTGCTTGTCTGCCAGTCCATGTGGCTGATGGTTTTGTCTTGCTGCTGAACCAGTTCCTGCTGGGAGTTGGTGGAAAAGCAGATTCAAACTATGCCGGTCTGGTCCTTCCTCAAGGTGCACGTTCTCCCTCCCTCCCTCTCTTTCTGCCCCCGTACTTTACAGTTTGCCCCACAGAGCAGTTATGCTGTTGTGAAGCTGGTTTTTTTGCTGTGCTAGTCGAGACCCGACTGTAGCACTGTAGTAAGGAAAGGGCCCAGACAGCTTGTTGGGGCAAGGCCAGCACTAGGGCACCTCTTCAGTTTGTTTTGGCAAAGCTTGAGTTTGCGTGGTCCTGGTTGCCTGCCCATTCCATTCACCTCCAATCTGGCTCTCCCTGTGTGTATACAACTGCTCCACACCCTGCGCTCCTGTCCCACCTCCCAGGGCTTGTGATACCGTTGACAGGGAAAAAGCAGCACAACAGCAGAAGTGCATCAGGGAAGGGAAGGCTCCACTGCAGTTTCTGTCATGCCAGTGATGGCCACAGAGCTACCCTCTTACAGCTGGGTCCCAGATCAACCCAATTCTCTTCTTGTAGTGATGGGTAATTTGGGCTTTGAATGGAGAGGATGCTTGTTTCTGAGCTGGTGTTGTATCCCTGGTTGGCTGGACACTATTTTACAGAAGCCTTTTAGCAGCAAGGTAGAGCATGGCATGCTGCTTGCTGGAAGTCAGAGTAGCTTGCCTTCCTCTCTCCTGGAAGTGTGGTTATCACGGCTGTAGGCACAAGGATGTAATGTTTTGGCTCAAACAAGAATCTGATAATTACCAGCTCATTTGTAGGAGAGAAACACTGACTTAAAAGGACTAGTGAGGTAATTGTTAGCATTACCAAACTTCTGTACCAAAGGCTTCACAGTTAGCATCTCTCTACAGTAGTGGGGAAGATTAGCTGGGAGGGTCCCATTTCACAGGAGGTTTGTTTTGTCCTTCCTGGAACCAAGGTTACCTTGAAGCTGTTGCTTCATGAATTTTGAGTTTGTGTGGTCCCAGTTGCCTCAGTGCCTTGGACTTGCCCTTGCCAAGGTGCCTTTCCAGCTCTTGCTGGGCTGTGTGGCCCAACTCTCCTAAGCTAATTTCATTTAACTTTCAAAAGATCTGATGTGGTTTGGGACAGGTACCTGGAGTGAGATGACCACCCAATTGTCCTTGGTTATAAACATTCCCTATTCCTTACATATTTATGGGGTGAGATTTCAAACTGGTTGTTTTGATGGATGCTAAGATACTTGTTTCTCTTCTTCAGGGCATCTGTATGAGTGTCCTTGCTTCATGAGGCTTCAAAACTGACCCTAGGCTGGTAAGTGGTCAGGTCCTTGTGGGCTAGAGAAATGTTTGTGATTTCAGCTTGGGATATCTCCATACACATCTCTTGTCCTTAGCCTGGCAAGAATTGACAAAAGAGTCCCCTAGATCACCTGTTTGATGGCATGGTGTTGACAAGCCTGCTTTTGGTCAGGATTTCAACGTTCCTCTTTGAAAAAGAGAAATGTCTTCCCAGCAAGTCAGACCCATCTGTTTTGCTTGGGGATGCAGTGGAATGTGCATTCACTATGCTGGATGTGACTTTTCTAAAGTATTAGAGATATCTTCACCTACCTGAGTCTTTTTAGCAGAGGGGACCTTGAGGGGACCTTGACTGCATCAAGGGACAATTTTCAGCATTCTGATGGTGGAAATTTACAGGTTAGTCCTAGGAAGTTTTTTATGTCTAAAAAGATGCGAGAAGCTTTTGTGAGCTTGTGTGTTTAGCAGAGTGAAGGACAGCTTGGAAGTGTTCCTGTGACGTGTGAAGCCTTTTGTGGCTTGGAGCCACTCTGTGCTTGGTGCAGACACGTCTCATTTGTCAGTCTTCCCAGTGGACTCAGTCTAAGCGTCAAGAAGATGCAGCTAGGCAAGAGTGGTTAAGGATTGGAGAGAATTTTGGAGCTCCATTGAGATACTTCGCATGTAAAACTCCACTGGCCAAAACACTAAGCAAATGAAGTATGCTAGCTCACTGGGCCAGTGGTATCCATGGACTGCCTTGAAAGTATGTGAATGGGAGTCAAATGGCCCTGCCTGTAGAAGAGGGGAGAGGGTGATCTGAGTTGAAGCAGGTCCTGCACTTTGAAGTGCTGCAGGTTAGGTGCTGAGGACTGCAGAGATGCTAGACCTGATCAGTGTTAGGATCCAGCAGGGGAAAAGGGGAAGTGGGCGCTTACCCCAAATACAGGGAGACTATGAACGATGTATGCATTGTCATCAGGGAAGGTCTAGTATTGAGCTCTGTGGGGACTGCTTGGCATCTCCAAGACTTATTGTCTTGTGTACAGCAGAGTGATTGAAATCCTGGTTGCTTGGGGAAAAGTGTTCCTGCCCTCCACTGCTGTCCCAAAGTGGTGCAAGGGAAGGAGATTCTTCCATGTGTGCAAGATAGCTGCTTTCCTTCTACCCCATTTTTTGCTCTTGTACTGCTACTGTTCCTGCATCAGGAAGAATCCTGCCCAGCACAGCTGGGATAAAGGGACTAATCTGGTCTTTCTGCTAGTGGTACTGCTGCATGTTGCAAAATCCGGCCTTTGGTAGCAATGGCATTGCTCCCTAATTTGTGGTCTTTGTCTGTTCTGACAGAGTGAGCAATGATAATGGTATGGTACCTCCTTCTGGCAAGCCTCCTGTGGTCAGCTCCATTGGGGTTCCAGTGTAAGCCAAAAACTTCTGGGTTTGGGCTCTTTAATGGCTGGAGTCTCCTCCCACATAGTCCCTACTGACAGTGACAGCACATGATCAATAACTCCTGCTCCAGCTGTCACTGCTGCCTGTAAGGCTTGCAGTTTCTGTATTGGAAAAGGCCTTTCCTAAAGAGCCTAATCAATATGCTGCTGTGAGGTCTGTTCTCGTTTGCTATATATAATTGGGACACACACAAACTATGTGAGTGAGCATGTGTAGAGGGGGGAGAGGATGTGCCACCCCTCTGCTCTCACTGGCTGGGAGAAGGACACAGCTACCTTTTACTTTACTCCCTTTCCTGCAGCTGCTGCTCAAAGCTTATGGCCACAGCCTTTCCCTGCTCGATTAGCACTCTGCATGGGGACCTGCTCTGGGACTCCAGGGGAGCTGAATTCCTGCTGGGTCACTTCTATGGTTCGATGGAACACCTGTGACTCCTCTGTGCATTTTCTGCTGTTGGTAGGTAACCTGCTTTGGGAGCCACGCAGGCGGGAGGATGTCGAGCACAGCTCCATCGAAGAAGCCTTACCGCAAGGCGCCCCCGCAGCACCGTGAGATCCGCCATGAGGTACCCATCATTCGTGACGACCAGGATGGAGTGATCTTGGCCGAGCAGAGTCAGGTAACGGCTTGCCAGGTGGCAGAGGGCTTAACACCATTGCACAAGCAAACAGGGTTTAGTTACACCGAGGCAGGCCAGCTCAAGCAGGCAGAGGGGTTTGAGGTTTGCAACCTGAACTTCTCCTCGTTGTGGTCCCTGGAGTCCCGCAGTGAGAAGGAAGTTAGAGGGTGCAGAACAAAGTTGAATATCAAGAGTCAGACTGTCTCGCCAGCACTTCCAGGTGGTGGGAAGATGGGGCAGCGAAACGGGAAGCGGTGCCCAAACCGTGGTCTTGGGCACCTCAGCAAATTTGTGAGCCGTAGCATGGACACAGTTGTGGTGCCTGGAGATGAAAGATGCCATCCCACTTGCTCTGTCAAGAGCAGAAGCCTGGAACGCTCGCTTATGTTTAAAGAGCCTCCTGAAGTCCTGACACCAAGGAAGTTTCAGGTCTCCTCTACACACCTGCCTCTCAAAGGGATCCTGAAGCAGACCAGCATGACAGGCCCATGCCCCGAGAGCTTATGCAAGTCCTACTCAGTAGAGACGCTTTCCCGTGGCCGTGGCTCATGGAAGTCCAGCGACCGTCAGCTCTGCCTCAGCCGTAGGGAGAAGCGCTCACTGGAGTGCAGCAGCAGCAGTGCCGCTGACTCTGTCAAGCGCAGGGAGAGGATCACAGAGGAAAAACTGCAGTTCTGCAAATTCCTGGATGAGGTTACCCGACGGGTGCTGAGTCCCATCCACTTGCGCTCACTGGGAGAGACCAGGGCAGCAAAACAAGATCAGAACTCTCCTCTCTTTCCCAGAAGCTCTGTGCCAGGACGCCAAGGGGGAGGTCACACACAGGGGGTCAAAACCAAGCATGCAACTGAAAGATCCCCCTACCCAAGCAGAAGAAAAGCTGCAAAGAAATGTGAGGGGCTGAGAATGGCTTCATGCCAGAGAAAGTGTGCTGAGGAGGTTGGGAGAGCTTCCAGACTAAGAAAAAAACCTGTCCTTGGGAGGAAAGACAGCAAGGAAAAACTCCTTTCCTTGGAGAGAAGGGTAGTAGATCTGTGTCAATGTGAGCTGCAGCAGCTGGCAAACCTGGGGCTGGCAGGGACATCCTCTGGGCAGCAGCACTCACTGCCTTCATGGAGAAGCAGAGCAGAGGGCAGAAGGGATGAAAGCAGTTCCTGTTCACGGCTATTACAGCCACACCATCTGTGTGCTAAACTTGGGCAGAAGCATGCGGTGGAGCCGACCTACCCAGAGAAAAGATCCTTCTCCACTCCGACACGCTGGAGTCGGGAGGAGGTGCCTACCCCATCTAGATCTTCCCCTTCCTTCAGCCTGGCACTAAACAAGGTAGGTGCCAGGGCCACTTGCTCACAGACAGGGGTCTCACAAAGGCCAAAGCCCCCACCTGGATCTCATCTAGTCTGTAATGCCAGTGAAGAGAGTGAGAGCAGCCCCCCAGACCTCATGTTGTGGTTGCTTAATCACCAGAAGCTGTTCTCTTGCGGATGCCACTCATGGCTGTGCTCCAGGTTGGGTATATCTTCCTGGGAGCAACCAGGTTCCCTTTGGCCCCAGGAGTTAGGAAGACAGGAGCTGGTGCTGTTCTCCCCCCTGCAGACTTCCCAGGTGTTTGCAGGTTGGAGGCCCTCCAGGCTGCAGGGCAGCAGGCGGGTACAGGAGGCAGGCAGCTCTGTTGTCAGGAGGTGTGATGCTCCCAGTGATTTGCGTGTGCCCTGTGCCTGGCTGTCTTGGGGTACTGGATCTTGGTATGATGGCTGTTTCAGGTCTTTGTAAGCCTTCTCTTTTCTCCAGCCTGCTTTAGGGCCATCACCTCGTTTTAATAGGAATCACATTATCCCCTTTGCCTTGTCACTAACATGTGCTGTGTGTGTATTTGTGGCGTTAGGGAAGGCAGTTACTAGATAATTCTCCATGAATTAACCGATTGCGTGTGGGGTCAGGAGGTAAGAAAAGAATGGCTTGATGCTTTGCCTTTGGAGACAAGAGGATGTATGCAGGTGGGAAGGACCATTCTTTTGAAATGTGAATTGATGAAGGAAGCAGCCCCATGATATCTTAGGTCCAGGATGGGGGCGGTTTCCCCTTGGTAATATTGCTAGCAGCTCAACAACCTCATCCACAACTTTCTGTGGCATGGCCTCTCAGCCCAAACCTGGCTGTGACACTTAGTGGACAACGTAAAGTCTGGCCGCACTTCGGGTTCGCACAGTGCTGTTGCTACCAAGCACCAAAAGTAATCCACGGGCAGCTTGGACTTTGTGGTGCTATTGGTCACAGTCTTGGGCTTTCACAGAAAATATCATTGCTTCTAGTGCTAATTAAATCTCTCCGAGCTGTGCTGGCAGGCAGCAGCCATCTCATGGGTTAACACAGAGAGTGTAAAGGAAGTGAGAAAAGCTGAGCCCTGTGCTCTTGTCAGTGTGCAGTGTCTCCTTGTTCTGCAGGTCCCTGCTCCAGACATCTCTGGGGATCTTGCCCAGAACGTTAATTTCTTTCACAGGCTTTTCTGACCTTTGGCGTTTCTTCTGCTTTCCCAGCATAGTTACAGTGGCTAGTTTCAGGTCTGCAGAAAGAAACACTTTTCACAGCGCCATCTGGACGGTGTAAATGGTAGACACATTTTTCAGTTCCCAAATGATTCTCTCTTACTCTTTTTGTGGGGCTTCAAGGGTGTTGTGATTGCTGTGATGACAGTTTAATCCTCAGTGTATGCTGGCCTGTGAGATTCCTGCTACCCACTAACTGTAGATGTGGAGGAAGCTGAAACACCAGCTAAGGTAGCGATGTTACAAGAGATGCTGAGATTGCGCTGTGGGAGAGTAAAGTTACCTAACTTGTGTGGCGGTTTCTAGTCTAGCTCTTCTGCCCTGCACCAGAACACACAGTCTGTCCTGGTATCAGACAGCTGAGTGGTGCGTACCTGGCAGCTCTAAGCTTGCCTTGCATGACCTGTCAGAGCGGGTGGGGAAGAGTCACAAGGAGGGTCTAGCAACCAAGACTCTGCCCTTCAGGACAGTGTGAGACACCAACTCTTCCTCTGAAAGAATCTCACAGCTGTTTTCTTCCCCTTGCAGGAAGCCTTGACGGATGCAGAAAGAATGAAGTAAGTGTCCTGCTCCCTCCTTACGCCAGTCATACTGCAACTGCGTGGGTGCTGATTCCTCACGTCCTGCCTGTGTCACCTGCACAGTGAAGCTGACTGGTCCTGCGGGCTCCTCTCACATCTTCAATCTTCTTGGAGCCACGTGGGCAGAGCTTTAGTCTGTGCCTTGCCAACCTCTGCCTTGCATGTGTCACCCCCTGGAATGGGAGGGAGCATAGACCCCCAGTGCAGGTGCAGGCAAGGGAGTTGGTGGGTGTGAAAGAAAGTAGGAGATGAAGCTTTTAATACAAGTGGAGAGAGGAGGGCCTTTTTTAACCCTTCTTGTTGTTGCCACCACTGTTTTGGTGTAAGCCACTGGAAGCAGTATGCAGAGGCCTGCTGCTGACTGAGGGTGAGAGCTGAGCCCTTTGCTGGTGATGGTGTGGGGCACCGACAGCTGCTAGCACTGAGCTCCAAGCCATAGTGAGGAGCAAGCTTGCACTGCCAGGGGGAAGCTGTGCTTCTGGGTTTCTTCAAGCAGCTGAGCACAAAGGAATGAAAATGGGCAGGAAATCCTTCTGACCACCAGGCATGTCCTGGCTGGGGAGGAATGGAGCAGTTTGTGTTGCAATGGGGTTGACTGGCAGCTGTGATCACATCTGTAAATGCACCCTACAACCTCTGCTTCTGGGCTTAAGGCTGTATGGAGTCCCCTTTCCACCATGTATTAAAGGTGTGAGGGCTTTTGAACAGTTTCAGGGGGAGGAGAAGATGATTTTTCTCTTTTTGCCTTCAACTCTTTTAACCTGCACTGGGATAAATTATTGAGTGGGTTTCATTCACCAGTGAGGGACACTGGAGCTGCGCAGCTCATCTGGCTAGTGGGCTTTATCCAAGTGCTGTAACCTGAGAGGGAGCTGGGAGCTGTGGCTGGCCAGCTGGCCTGTGCTTCTTTGCTCCTGCTGCAAGAAAGTTTGGGTCTCCTTCTCCTGACAGGGGTGCACCTCTTGCTCCGTGTGCTGGAGTAGTCTGCCAGTTCAGTTCCTGACTTCCTGGGGCCCCTGTGTGGGGTCTTGGGCCCTAGAGCAGAGCAGTGGGGTTTGGATGTGGAGTACCCCTTGTGCACTCAGTGGAACCTTGTTTCTGTGTGCCCCAGGCTACTGCAGCATGAGAATGAGGAGCTGCGCCGACGGCTGACGTATGTGACTAACAAAATGGAGGCGATGGAGAGGGAGCTGGAGTCAGGTCAGGACTACCTGGAGATGGAGCTGGGCCAGAACCGTGAGGAGCTGGAGAAATTCAAGGACAAATTTCGTAGGTATGAGGTTAAAGGCTCTGCAGCCATTACTTCCTCCAGGGTACAGCGTAGGAACGCTGCCAGCATGAGGGACTGACAACAACAGGGAATTCTTCATCTGTTGGATGTAAGGCACGATCCAGCTTGGATGGTTACCCCCGCATGTGCAAAAGGAGCCACTGATGGCTGCAAGAAAATACATCACCACTTTACCTGGAAAAGTACCTCAGTTAAAAATCAGTGACAGTCAGTGGTCATGTGCATATACATAACATAGCTCAGAGGAGCCCTCCAAAGTCATTCACACCCTCCCCTGCAAGATCCTTTCATCCAGCCAACCTCATCTTGCCTCCAGTAACTTGGGGTCTGATGGCCATTATGTGGCAGAGGTGAGGCATAATTAATATGCCTGGTTGTCTTAGTACCAGTCTTTCTGGGGTTGTGGAGTTGGTGGTTTGCTTGGCAGCTACAAAGGGGGGCTTCAGTAGGTGCCTGAGATCCATTCCCATGTGTACAATCTTGTTTCTGTAGGCTGCAGAACAGCTACACTGCTTCCCAGAGAACCAACCAAGACCTGGAGGAGAAGCTGCATGCCCTGGTAAGTGCCCTCTTAAGTCACTACAGAGAGGAGGTGGAATAGACCTGTGTGTTAGGAGCAGATGGGGAGGGGGCCCTGGCTTTACCCAGCAGATGTGGCTGTGGGTGAGGGGTGAGATTCTGGCCATGACCATCTAGTCCCCATTCCAGCTGGTGTCATGAACTGTTTCTTAATTTACTGAGCCCCTACTTGGTCATGCACATGAGCTTTGGTTCCCCACAACATAATTGCATGGTATTGCGTCATGTTGCTTCAGTCCCTCTCAAAATGCCAGGGGTGTGTCGGCCAGTCTTGGGGTGGTCATCCTGGGAGGGTGGGAGGCAGTCGAAGCAGAGCCAATGTGCGTGTATGTCTGTTGTGTGCATTCATAACACTCATGGCTGTTTCTTTTCTCTCCCTCCCTTTCTCTCTCTCTTTCTCCTCCCCACGCTGCTGCTGGCACACACTGGGCGCACTCACCTCTCAGGCCTCTCTCAGCCAAAGCTGGATTTTTGCAGTTGCGTCTTTTCGTTTGTGTGTTTTTCCTTTTTCCTCTTTACGTGTCTCAGCCTGTTGGTTTCGTTGTCAGTCCCACATACACCATCCCAGATGGAGGGGCCCCAGCCCTCGTCCAGCCAAGGGCTCACCTGGTATCCAGCAGCTGCCCGCAGATGCAGCAGGTCCTAGCTTGCAGTGCTCCATCTTAAGAGCGTTTGACTCTGAGCCAGCTGGAGCGTGGCATGTGGGGAAGTGGTGCCCATAAGCTGTGGCACTGCACAAGATGTGGATGGCTGTGAGCCTCGTTTGCTCCCTTTCCCTCCCCTTCTGGGCTGTGAGCAGGCAAGTCGAACAGCTGAGGTGCTGATTGCCTCCGTGTAGCCCAGGATGAGATTTCTTTGGTTCTAGCACTCGAATTTCTTGGGTTTATATTCATTGTGCTGGTGCCTGAAAAGACTGCATATGTGGGAAGCATTGTCCTCCCCTACCCCTTTGTGTGTCGCTGTGCTGTACCCTGGACACACAGCTGGGCCATGGTGGTCACAGCCTCAGAGGACCCTTGGGCAGTGTTGGAAGAACTTCTTGAGGAGGGGATGGCTTGGTTGTTCTGAGCTGTTGCCCGTCACTGCTGTTACATCTGGGTCTCTGTTGGCCCTGTACCTGAACAGTCAGGGAGTCTAAAGAGGCAGTATTGCCTGCTTTAGGGAGGGCATTAACTGAGCTCCAGGTGAAGCTACACAGGTCCTTTTTCTCACTAGAGCAAGGCTTAAGCTCTTTCAAGACAGTGCCAGAAAACAACCTTTTGGTCCATTCAGCATTGACTGCTGGGTCTTTATGGGCAGAATTTTTGTTCTGCTGCCCCAGAGAAGAGAGCTGGGTATCACAAGCTCAGAGGTCTTTCCTGCCAGTGGCAGGATGGGATCCATTGCTCAAAACCACTAGCTTTCCACCAGGCACCGTGTGAACCAGGGCAGAGAAGAAACACAGTTGTGCTGCAAGAAGAGATACTGTGTTAAGGACATTCAAACTCAACCTGTTGTCTCTGTAGCTAGCAGAGTGGCTGGCTCCATTTGGCCTTTGGAGTGCCTCCCTTGGTGAAGAGCCAGGCTGTCCCCCTTGTCTGTCTGTCTGGAAGTTTTTGTATCCCAGCTGAACATGTCATTGTGCTATGCTTGGGCTGAGGTGGGTGGTGAAGCCAAGTTCTTCTGTGCTGGGGAGATTTACACCTGGTGTTCTTGCATCCCAGATTAAAAAGGCAGAGATGGACCGCAAGACGCTGGACTGGGAGATTGTAGAGCTCACTAATAAATTGCTCGATGCCAAAACCACCATCAATAAGTTGGAGGAACTCAATGTAAGTGTCAGTCTGCAAATGGCTGTGAAAGTGGGAGAAGTGTGGGCTTTTCGTCTTGTTCAAAGTCATCAGTGTAAAGGAGCATATGAATGGCTTTGTGTATGAAAATGTGGGAGCTGTACACAACAGTAGGGACAGACAAACAGAAAAGAGACTGAGGGATTGAGCAAGGAAGAACTGATCTTCAAGTCTGATGTACTTGCTCTTTTGAGCTTAGGGTTTGACCTGAGCCCAGGCTGTACCAACTGAGGGGTCATTTACACTAGAGCTTGGAGGGAGCCGATGCCTTTTCTACACCATTTAGTTAAGTTCCTGGATCCAGTGCTTGTTTCTATTAACTGTTCTCAACTCCCTCCAGTCTGACTGAAAGATGCCTGACATCAGGCAGTGTCTTCAGGCATGGCTGAGAGCTCTGGGATGGGACAGCAAATCTGGTGGGACTTTTGGAGACTAAAATGCTCAGAGGGAGAGAGGGTTGATACACTGACGGAGTATATGCCTGCATCAAGGATTGGAGTTGAAAGAAGCACCTTGGCTGAGTTGTGAGAAAATACCCAGGAGTGTGGAGAGGAGGGAATGGCAGATGCCTTCATGACCAATTCATCAGATGCTGCCTCCTGCTTCTGTTCAAGCAGCATCTGTGCAGGTGGCATCTTTCTGTGTAAGAGATCAGGCCAGTCTGACACTGTTGCACACCTGTGCCCTTTCTTGCAGGAACGCTATCGACAGGACTGTAACCTTGCAGTACAGCTGCTCAAGTGTAACAAGTCCCACTTCAGGAACCACAAGTTTGCTGATGTGAGTAACAGTCCTGCTGTGGTGGGGAAGAAGGGCTCATGGTCTCAACCTGCATCTTGCTTGCTTCAGCTTTCTCTGCAGGACTGTTGGCCCCTCATCCTCCAGCCTCAGATAGAGGTGTGCGGGGGTTCCTGTTCCCACTCCCACTGAGAAGGCAGCGCAGAGCCTCTGCCAGCTCCTCTTTCACACCAGCTCCATTTCACAGCTCAGCCAGGAGCTGTTATAAAAAGCACAATAACCTTGAATTTGATAGCCTGCTGGGTGCCTGATGGGAGCTGGCAGGAGGACAGACCTCTCTCTTACCCTGCTCTATCCTCTTCGCTTCCTCACCTGGCCACATGGAAGGGCTGTGCTGCCTGATAAGGAGTCAAGCAGCAATAGCCTGGCCCTGCTTCACTTCTTGCTCTGAGGCGAAATGTAGGAGGCAGCATTCAGGGTGTATTTTAGGCCTCCTGAATGGGAGAAGTGGGTACCAACTCGTACTCCCTCTTGTGGGGTCTGTTCAGCTCGTCCTGCCCTCAGGATGAACAGAGATGGAGTTTAGGCCTTTCACATTAGTAGCATTGCTTCTTTGGTTGGGTGTATCATTCAGGCCTTTACCCCATCTCTCTCTCTGCTGTACCCCTGTTCTCCATCCCTTCTTATGTTCCTCTCAGCAAAACCATGTGCTCGTCTTTTTTAACTTAGCAGGTGACCAATGTATCACCCTCCCCCATTGTGTCTCAAATTAGCACTCTTGAGGTCAGTGTATCAGTTACTGCTGGGGTAACCTTGACCTCTCTCCCAGCTGTCTCCCCTCCCTGGAGCTTTGAATTCTGCCCCCCCAGAGCGCCACGTCCCACGCGGCTGCCACTGGAGGGGGGTTGGTTCTGGGCAGCTGTGCAGACAGTCTGCCTCACAGCCAGCTGTTGTCATGCAGAGTCCCATGCATCCCCAGCTTCGGATGCAGTTTCCTTCTGGCTGTGATGGGACAGACCTTGCTGCGCCACTGAGTGGCTTGTGGTGCTCTGCTCTCCACTTCGTGCTGCGCATGAGTGTGGTGGCCAAGGTGAGGGCAGCTTGCAGGGTGATGGGGAGAGCAGCAGTGCCGTTTGCAGGGCAAGGAGCAGTGCTTACCTACCCCCTGTGGAGTACCCCAGTCCTGCAGCTTTGGTAATAAACCCCATGTTTGCTTCTCTGAAATGGAGTGAGGAAGCGGGATGAGGTGATGGAGTTGGTGGGAACGAGGGAGGGCATCAATTCTGGTCTGCGGGCAGGCTGCCAAGGTAGTGTGGCTGCAATGACCGCATTCGGGGAGCAGTGTGGATCCCAGCACTGGGGGCTGTTGAGTCACTTCAGTGCAACCACTGGCTGATTTTCCACAGATCAATAGACCCCTTCCTAGCATGCGCTGGGTGAGCCTTGCCTCTGCGCTCAGACATGGGGGGGACCGAGCCTATGTGCTGTCTTTTCTTGTTTTCTTTGCAAAATGGGTCCTGTGAACCATGGCCTTGAACCAATGTCCTAGAAACATGACTGGTGTGGCAGCTAGACAGCCTTATTAGTCCCTCACGGGGCAGGTTTGCTTTGGAAAGAGGTAGCTCTCTCAAGGCAAGGTAGGTGAATGTTTGGGTCACGATAAGGAGTACAAAGTACACATGAAGGCTGGTTGGAAGAGGCAGATTATTTGGAACTAAATGGCTTGCATGGAAGCCCCCATCTAATGTGCTTTTCCTTCTTCCTAGCTTCCCTATGAGCTGCAGGACATGGTCAATAAGCATTTGCACAGCACTCAGGAGTCCACAGGCCCTGGTCAAGAGGCAACCCGCACCTTGGCTCCATCTGATGTTGTGCCCACCTCAGTCATTGCCAGAGTCTTGGAGAAACCAGAATCTCTGGTTCTGAATTCAGCTAAGTCTAGCAGTGGCAGCTGCCCCATGGCTGAGGATGTCTTTGTGCATGTGGACATGAGTGGAGCCCCTCCTGACGCCTGCAACAGCACAGGGCAGGTAGGAAAGGAGGGAGGTGATGCGGGGAGGCAGCAGAATGGTGGCTGCAAGCCGCAGAGCAGTGTGGAAAGCGTGCCAGAGGAGGTGCCTGCCTTTGAGAAGCTAAGCCCGTACCCTACACCCTCACCTCCCCACCCTATGTACCCCGGGCGCAAAGTGATTGAGTTCTCTGAGGACAAGGTAAGGATCCCAAAGAACAGCCCCCTGCCCAACTGTACATACGCTACGCGCCAGGCCATCTCCCTCAGCCTGGTACAGAGCGAAGATGAGAGCTGCGACAGGCACCGGACGCTCCCCGGCAGCCCCGCTTCAGAAGGGCACCGTTCGGCCTCCAGCTGTTCCTGTCAGCAGTCCCCCAAAGCAGCCAGGGCTCATGGCTCTTCCCAGAGCAGCCCGTTCAGCAGCCCGCCCCAAATCCCGAGCGCCTTCGCCAGCTCTGCCAGCTCTGAGGAGGACCTGCTGGCCAACTGGCAGCGTATGTTTGTGGACAAGGCACCCCCTACCTCAGAGAGGGTGCTGATGAACCGCACGGCTTTCAGCCGTGACACGGCCCCCGAGCTCCAGAAGAGGTTCAGCCGCTCCATGCAGGAGCTGGGTAGGGCAGCCTCGGCTTATTCAGATGGTGAGGAGTCTGCGCAGAGCTGCAGCTGGACCGTGAGCCGGGACTCGAGCGTGGACACAGACAGCACCGAGTCCAGAGCCCGCAGGAGCCATTTCTCCTCAGACTATGGTACGGATTTCTCCCAGGATGAAGCCCAGAAGCTGTTGCAGGAAAGCGGTGGAGGCACTGCTGAGCCTGGAAGCCCCTCACCAGAGAAGCACAAGGACTATGTGGACCTTGGCTTGCCTGAGAGCCCCGCTGAGGAGAGACAAATGTTGCTCCAGGGAAGCAAGGAAAGCAACCAAGGAGGTGCCCAAGAGGAAAGTGGAGAAGGCAGGGTCAAGCCTCCCCTCAGTCGGCCACACCGCAGCCCCAAGAGGATGGGGGTCCATCACTTACATCGCAAGGACAGTCTGACGCAAGCCCAGGAGCAGGGCAACCTTCTCAGCTGAGGCAGGGCAAGAAGCAGCCACACGCTGCAGAGCTGTGGGATGCATCCAACTGTCCACCTTCTGAGGGAGAAACCTCCCTCAGTGCCCTCATACCTGGTGGGGGGGCTCTGCTCTGAAGTTTTATATTTCTCTTCTTTTGCTACATGGAAGAGCTGAGGTCCCCCTTCCCCGGCACCTCAGACCCACAGTACTAGCACACACAGTGTGCAGAAGCATACCCACTGCCCTGGCACACTCGCAGCTCTCTTCACAGCCTCACATTGGTGCCTGTACCAGAGCTTGTTCTTGGTACCCCTCGTCCTGGTGCCTGCGCCTCTTCATGCTCGCATCTTCCTTCCCCCTTCCCACTCAGGTTCCTCAGGCCCTTGGGTGCTCTCATGCTGGTTGCCCGCAGCTGCTCTGTTCTCTTAACTTGTGCCAACAGGGCAGAGTGCCTGTGTGGTGATGTCTGATTCCCGGGGAGGCCCCAGGGGCCGTCAGTGGGGCGCGAGGACTCTCCCAGCGGATGGCTGTGTGCTCCTGGGGATGCGCTGGGATGGCTGGTGTCTCATTTTCCTGCTGGGTTTTGTTTTCCCCAGCTGCCCTCTGGGTGGTTCTCCAGAATCTGCCTCTGCAGGTCCCCACCACTTGGCTCCGGCGTTGGGCTCAGCACCCGGCCCCTGCTGAGGCAGGTTGCTGGTGCTGTGGCGTGGGGGGTGGGTGCTGCCTGCCGAGGCGGTTCGGGGAGGTACTGCCTGCTGGGCGCTGGGGTTTGTGTTTGTGTGTCTCCTCCCTCACACCTCTTCCCGCCCCCCCAGTTCTCTGTGCTGTTGTTTTGTTTGAACGGTGCTGATGCTTTGCTCTTGGGTGGGCTTCTTTCTTCTTTCCAAGCCTTTGGTTTTGGGGTGTATTGTTTTTTCTTTCTCCCCACCCTGCATAAACAGACACAGCCGTTGGCAGCCGGTCTGATGCCTGCATTGAGGGTGTGTTGAAGAGGCTCAGCTCGCAGAGCTGCTCTTTTCTCTGATCCTGGCCTCCAGCTTGCAGAAACCCCTCCATACTCAAGAACAAGGTCTTGCCCCGGGCGAGCAAGGTGTGAAGGACGCTACCGGGCTTTTCTGGGCAAGGCTCGGTGCAGGGCCGGCAGGGATGCAAGGGCAGCGTGCTGAGGAGCTGCTCCCTGCAGATGCTCTACCTCACGGCTTGGCAGCAGCCCATTGCCAGTGTCTCCTCGCACGCCCCCTTCTCCGGGGGGCTCCAGGCTGGCTCTGGTGCCTCTCCGGGGCCTCCCCTTCTGGGTAGGGCCTCTCTGTGTGTTTTTCCTAGTGTAGCGTGATGTTGTGTGACTTTTCTTCTCAGTCTTGTGTGCTTGGTGTCTTGTTGGGGGAGGGCAGGGTGGGGGAGGGAAGGGGAGAGGTCTGTAGATGTAGGGGGTTTTTCTGAGGGCTTGCAAAGCCCAGGCGTCCTGGTTTAATTTTGTCCTGTGCCCTCATCTGTCTGGTGTTTCTTGGCTCCCCTGGGGTCGTGAGGCAGAGAACAGCCTGGTTCCCTGCGCCGTGCCCCCCTCAAACCTCACTGGCTGTCCTTAGCCTGCTGTCTGGTTTTTGAGTTGGGTTTGTGTCGACCTCCCACATTACTCAATGAGGGCTCTTCACTGGGCTGTAGGAGAGCAGCCCTCTGTCTGGGAGGGAGCTCCCATTCATACGCTTACAGCAAGATGTGCAGCCAAGAGCTGCCTGGGGGTCCTGCTCCCCTCCCCAAACCCCTGTCTCTGCAAAGGGCCCGCAGCTTGCAGCTGGGGCCAGCCAGGGCTTCAGCTCGAGCCTGGAGGCTCCAGGGCCTGTGAAAAGGAGCTTCAGGCCTCGGTGGCGGCTGTGTAGGTTGCTTTATGTACCCTGGCTAGAGCTGCTGCCTACCCACTGGCCTTGTTTCCCACCTGGAACAGTCGTGAGCTGGATGCCACCCTCTGGCAGGGAGGTGGGACACAGTATTTCACTACAGTATTTCGCTTGATACCTGTGCAAACAGGCTGGTGCTGAGAGCGGGAGCTGCCTCTGAGCCTGCAGGGTGTTCCTCTCTCTTGTCCTGAAGGTGGTGGTGGAGTCCTTGCATTTGCTCTCATCAGCCATTCCACTGCTGCACTTCTGTTCTGCTGCATTGCTGAGGGCTTGCACCTGCAGCAGCTGCCAGCTTCTGCCTCACGGACATCACCTGGGGTTGGATGCTCACTGAGTGAGCTCCTCTGGTTCTGAGGCTGCTGGTGGCCTGCCTGTGGGACAGCACAGCCACTTAGGCAGCTGGGGAGGCATTGTCCCTCAGGGCTCAGCCCCGTCTCCCCTGAATCCTGGCATGCTGGTCAGGGGACAAAACGCACTCTTGCTGAAGCGGCTGGTGCTGATGGTGCTGGGCAGAGTCAGCCTCCCTCTGCTTTTGGTTGAGGCAGACTTGAAACAGTGGAGAAATGGAGAGGTGGCAAAGGGGTGGCCAGCGCTTCACCAGACACTTCTGCTTCATGGTGTTAGGCTGCTGGAAGAGGTTGAGGGGGAGCGGTGGCCTCAAGAGGAGCAGAGCCCTCTCCCCAGCGGGCACGGTGCCTGCCCTTCTGCACTCCTGCTCACCCCCCAGCAGTATTGGCTCTAGGGCCTTGAGCTGACCCCACTTTCAGTGTCCCAACTCCAGACTGTTAATCTGTAACTAATGTGGGTTTTTTTTCTGAAATTTTCAAACTGATGTATATTTTAAGACCAGAAATAAACTATTTTAAAAGTAGGTGGCAATGGCTATAGTGTTCTCTCTGTTGGTTAAGACCTGTCATGAGCATGTGAGGAGCAGAGCCTCGCGTGGTTCAATGTCCTGTTTGCTGAACTGCGTGTGCCACCCATTAGTTCTCCCAGGGAGAGCGGTCCTGTGGCCTGTAAGCTTTCCAGGAGGCTCTGAATTCACTGGTCATACCGAGCGTTGTCCACTTTAGCAGCAGCCTGGTTCAAGGTGCTTGTGCAAATCAAATCATCTGCGTTGGAGAGGAGGTGCGGTCCCAGGAAAGGAGTGGTGTGTGGGATGAGTGGTGTTTTACTTCTGTAATTGTATCCAGGCTGTGGAAACTGCTCTCTGGGTCTGAATGTAGACTGTCAGCTCAAAGATCAGACTGAGCCTGCAGACCAGGATCCATTCTTCACAGCAGCATTCCCTGTCACTTTTGACTGGGAAGCTGACAGTGGCTTTAAAAAGGCAGATTATTTAACCAGGCAACTTTGAGAAACATTGAAAAACAATTTTGACATTACTTAGAGGCTAGACTTGTGAAAACCATAAAATTCTGCCTACCCCACTTCAAATATTTTGCTGGCTGTCCTTGTCTCTGGTCTGTGTCGTGGCACATGTGATTAGAGTAGGATGAGGTATAGCTAATTCTTTTAATATTTGTCGGTTTTCTTAAAGCCACACTGTGCAGTCAAGTGAGAGTATCAGTTCTCCATTTCAGAAGATGAGTTACGTGGGAACATGTAACATAACCCCTCCCTTGAGTGCTTAAGTTTTATAATTCTAGTGTCAGTATTTTGTGTTTTTATTTTGTGTGGGGAGGGAAGACTGGGGTTGATTGGACATATCTCAGATAGGCAGCCCTCCAGACATGAGATAGAGGTTGTTCCCGTAGGATGCTGATGCAGACATTTGGAAGCGGTTCCTTTTCACGTTGAGCGGTCCTGCAGAGGTCAGAGGGCTGTGATGAAAATTCTTCCGTCTTCCCAAGTTATGCTGCCTGTGCCCTTTCTGACCTAGGTGCATGCAAAGCGTAACAGAGGAAGAGTTTCTTGTTTCTTTGTTCCCATAATTAATGATTTTATTCTGAGCTCCTTTGAGTAGCAGCTGCCGCCACAATTTAATCTTCCACCCTAATCTGAGCCTTGAAACATAATCTTCCTCGCCTCGCTCCGGCGAGGGGCGTTTGGCCGAGCAGCGAAACCTACAGCGGGCTGAAGCCTTCACCCGAGGGTGCGGGGCTGGGGCCCAGCCCTCCACCCCCCGGGCCCCGGGGAGCCCCCGGGGGTCCGTAACGGCGGTTACCGCCGACCTCCCCCCCGGGCCCGGCGGGCACCGGGCGCGGGGCTGCTGCCCCCTGGCGGCGCGGAGGGCCCGCGGTGCCACCTCCGTCACCTTTATAAAACTCTCCCCGCGACAGCAGCACAAGCAATAGAAAGAACATCTCTTATACACATCTGAATAAATACAGCTTGCGCCTGGCGGGCGCAGCCGGGCGTTTTGGGAAGGGGGGGGGGGGGGTGGAGGGGGAAGGAGGGATGGGAGAGGCAGGGCAGCGTGAGCTACACATGCAGCAACTGGACAATCACAAGCGGCCGACGGGGCGCGCGGCAACACAGAGACGTGTGTAGAGGTTTCGTTCGGACCAGGCTCCGGCCCTCGGAGAGCCACGGGGGGCATCAACAGGACGTGAGATGTGTGAGAAGACGGCTGGGGCAGCCCGGTGGAAGGAGGCCGGGGGGCTGGTGGACGCACGCTCCCCCCGGCGGGCACGGTGCTCTTCTCGGCAGAAGCAGGCAGGGTAGCCCAGCTACATTTCTGTTTCTGCTAAGAGGCTGTCACCGAGGCCTGACGTCATCAGGACCATCTGGGAGCTGGAATCTACGGCAAGAAAGGGAAAAAACCATGAGCCGTTTGGGCTGCCGGAGAGCACGGGGTGGTACTCCAGATCCAGAGGTGAAGATGAGGAATTGGAGCACTGCAGGGTGCAAAGCAAACTGCTGAGAGGATGTGAGATTAAGCAGTAACTAAGTCTACTCTGGTCACGCAGCAGAACAGAATCGATGTTTGGGGAGGGGAGAAGGCAGAAACAGCAGCAAGAGCCCAGGGTGGGGATCTGCATTTGTTATGTTGGCTGTTGAGAGGAACATCAGCTCTGAACCCTCCCCACATACTCTTGCAGGTGATAGTGGTTGTGCTGACCCAGCCCTGCACAGACCTTTCAAGCTGCACTCACCGAGTGCCTTTTCAGCTAGAGTGTCCAGGTGAGACCGGCTGCTGCAAGCCAACCAAACCCACGTAGGGGGGTGGTGTTGCTTTCCCAAAAGCAGGGAACGCAGCAAGCAAGCAGCCATTTTATGGCAGCAAAGGTTCTGGAAATCCTGACTCGGCGCTGCATGAATAGAGGGTTTGTGCAGCCCTCCCCTGCCTGCCTCGGGAAGGTGAGGGCAGCTTGCTGGCTCTGTGATGGGACAGAGTGCCAGCCAGGAACCTTGCAACTCTCCCCAGACCAAATGAATCAGCTGCAAGGAGGTTGGGCACACGTAGCAAGTAAGAAACTCAGCAGGACACCAGTTTCCCATCCAGAAGTCTTTTTAAGCAGAAAAAAAATTGTTTTTTTTTCCCTGGATGTGAGGGAGAAGATCTTTCGTGGCTGTGTGCTTCAGAGCCAGAGTCCTACATTTTCAAAACTGCTATGTGGGAACTATATTTTGAGGATCAGTTTCTGGAAACTGCATCCAAAACTTGGCCAGTGCTGTCAGTAAAGGATTTTTCTGGCTCTAATAAATAAGGATCCAGATGTTCTGAGGCCCAGGGAATAGCTATACTTGTCTGCTGCTAGTCTGATATGAGAATTGGGAGCGGGGGGGAAGGTCAACTAAAGGTAAAAAAAAAATACCAAACCAAACCAGCATGAGTATCACAATGTAGGCATAACAATATACAATATCATATATACAAGCTATACACAAGAGGCTATCTCCATAATATACCTTTTTTTCTGTTATAAGCAACAGACAGGCAGCAGCACCTGGCTAGCCCTTCACACGTTTGAGACACAGCTGGGAATAGCTGATGCTCTGCAGATTGCAGGGGGATTCTGGAAGCAGTGAGGAATTACATGAGTTTTGGCTAGGATATCTGGCAAAGGCCCCCGAGATCTTTAATGCTCCTGCCCTTGAGTTTTAAGACGTTGCACAACGATTTTGTTCCTGCAGCAGCAGGGAAAACGCCTCTGAAGTACCATTTCCACTCTGCAGCAGCTGCATTGTCCTTGGAGGCTGCCTTTCCAAGCAAGGCTCAACCCAATGCTATTTAACATGAAGGTCATGCCTGGAGGCTGTCTGAATTCCAGTTCCCAGGGAGAAGGGATAGTCCCCATTCACCAACCCTACCATGAGAGACCCGTGGCGCTAGAAACACCCCAGACACCCCAATTCCTGCCTGTCAGCCCCTGCCCGCAGCCCAGGTCCCAAAGCTCTTACTGTTCTGGCAGATCCAGGGGTTCTTCTCCCTGGCTGTGACTTCACGAGCCTCTGTTTCCTCCTCTTCCTCACCCTCTGAGAGCAGGTCAGAGATCTGCTGCTGTAGCTCGGGACTAATGTTGTTCTCCGCCAGGATGAGTGTCCGTAGGGCTGTGGGGTAATTCTCTACCATGTCCAGCAAGGTCTGGGTGGAGAACGAGATAAAGAGGCTGACAAGCAGCACGAACAGCAGCTAGGCTGAGCAGAAAGAGCTTCCATGCTCTGTCTCCCTGCAAACTCCAGCTCTCCTCTTCTTCCCTCTGCTTTCCCTGGGCCTTGACCTCCCTTTGCCATGCTTTCTGAGAGCCTGATGACTTCCCATCTTTCTATGGGAACAGCTGAGCCTGGATTTCCTGCCTCTGTCTAAAAAGGAAGGGACTGCTCTGCACCCTGTTGCTGCCACACACCCAGGGTAGTCCCCTCTTACCACTGAGAGCTGGGGCTCTAAGAGGAGAGATTGTGCTACTGAGATCTGGTCTCTGTCTGTCCACAGAGCTTTAGCTCTGATCCTCAGTCACAAGTCCAACCCCTTACTTCCAAGGAAACCAAACTACGAATAGAGCAGCGTGTTTCTCCCTGTTGACTTGAGGGAGATCCTGGAGCTGTAGGTTGGAGCTTTGGCTTACAAGCTTCTCCTGTGGCTGAGTGCAATGGGCCAGGGAAAAGCAACAGCACCCCTGGGCGCAGGGTGGGATGGGGATGCACGTGGACTCGGGGATGGAGGCAGGTACGGGTCCTAGGGCCTCTGTAGACAGCCAAGACCTGTATGCCCTTGAGATGTTAATGATGCTGTAGAGTAACTGTAGGCTCTCATACCTGGGCTGACTGGTTGGTAAGTCCTGTTCCCTCCAAGTCCAGAACTTCAAGGGTTCGACTGGAGGCCACAGCGACAGCAAGCATCCCTGCTACCTGGTCACCTGTGGGAGAAGTAAACCAGGACTGTTAGCAGTGCCTGCCTGCCTTCCCTCATGTAACACCACGTGCCTTCATGGGCCTGGGGCTGTCATGGAAACATCCTCTGGGTATTTCTGCCATCAGACAACCTCTAAACCTCAGTTATCTTGGGAGGTAAAAAAAAGCTGTTAACTGAGAAAAGAGACAAGGTAAAGGTGCGCCATTTTGTGGTTACAGGAGTCACTGATTATCAGGAGGAACACAAAAGAACATGGTAAAATTGGTTCTATTCCCCAAGGTACCATATCTTCCCCAATCTCCTTCCTACTCAAGGATGCAAGGGCCTTTAACAGTTCCTGTAACACATCCCAGCTGCAGAATAAAGAACCAAATACCTCAGTCTAGGGGGAGGCTGGAGCCAGACACAGGACTCTGCACCAGCTGATGGACTGCCTCCCTGGAAAGGGGGCAGACTTTTGGGTGTGAATGCAGCAGGACCAGGAGCATTAAAGGTCGATCTTGGTGAAGAGCCAAGACTCCAGTGTGTTCTCCTGACATTCCCTGGTGAGTGCCAAGATACTGTTACAACTGTGGCACCTTCTCTTGGAAAAAAAAAAAAACGGGCTGCTGTCAGGGGCCTTTTCTGCCCAAGAGGAGGTACCTGGTCAGACACACGGGGCCTGGAAGGAGGCTCTGTTTCCAGATGGGGTGAGGAGGGGAGCACCCTGCTGATGCTCAGGGAGGCTTGGCCCGGTCTCCTCCTCACCACCTTGCAGCAGAGCTGGAGAGAGTTGGTTTCTATGGCAACGAGTGCCAGGCTCTCCTCCTCCTCCTCCCTGCTCCGCTGGGAAGATGAAAGGGGGAGCGCAGGGACATACTGCATCTTCCAAGCCAGCATTGGCACCCAGGGGAGACGTGGAGGGTCAAGTGTGACGACAAAAGCCTTGGAGAGGGCAAAGCACAGCCTCCTTTCTGCGCCTCCCTGCTGGGCACATGGCCACCTCACACAAGCAAAGCAGCAAGGCTGGCCTTCCCTACAGCTGGAGGGGCCTGGCAGGGTGAACTTGCTTCTGGGGATCAGAAGGCACCTATGCAAGAAACTTCCCCATCCTGCTGGTGATGTTCTACTGCTTTTCTAGAGCTTGGTCCCCAGCCACCCACCGAGAGGCAGCACTGCAGCGGCCCCTGATCCTCCTCCCTGGCCCTCCAGCTTACCAAGGGGGTTGTAGTCCAGGTTCAGCACGCGGAGCTGTGAGCTGTGAGCCACTGCAATGGCCAGGCGTCCCCAGCCTTTGCTTGTGACGCCTGGGTTGGCGCTCAGCGTTAGCTCTTTGAGGCCTGGAGAAGAGAGAGAAGCCAAACCAGAGCCTTAGGGTCACGGAAGCAGTCTCAGAGGAACTAGCTCAGCTAACCAGAACAGCTTTGGGTCATGTCCTCTGTACTCCAGCAGGCTAAAGGGTTTGGTTTGCTCTGACAACTATCATCACATATTTCACTGATCAGTGAAATATTTCAGTGCTTTCAGCAGTAGTTCTTCATTTACCCATGCTGTGACTGCCCCACTTCTCCGCTCTCCGAACCTGTGTCCTGCTTACCCTAAATAGCAAACACAATGGAAACGAGTAGGGGGGTTGTGAGGTGACTGATCAGAAGAATGTGGCATGAAGTGACAGGTTGGAGAGAGGACAACAGCCACAGTAGGCTCCGAAGCCTGCACCTGGGAGGGGTGGCCAGCAGAGATAACAGCATGAGTGACACTGTCAGCACACAGAAGAGGAGGTGCTGGGGAGAGATGAAAAGCACTCTGAGAGTCAGGAGAGAGGGGTGGTGTTACCTCAGCACATGCCAGCTCTAAGCTTAACTGGCCCACAGGCCTCTGACCACCAAAGATCATCCCCTGCAAAGATATTGAGTCTTGGTGCTAAGGCTATGACCATGCAACCACACACTCGCAGAGTGCATTCACAAGCAGGGACAATTCCCAGGCACTGACAGTAAAGCCAAGTGCTGAGGTGGGAGCACACTGTATATTTACCTACAGTCATTATCAACACGCGAATACAAACTAATAAACCCAAAGTCCAAGCTGTCCCTTCCTCCAGTTTCAAATGCTCCTGTCATGAACCAGAAGCAACCTGTTGGTCCCTGAGCTCCAAACTGCCAGCAGGACAGATCAATAGCAGAAAGCCCATGCCTGCCTGAGGGATCTGCTCCTTTATTGCTTGGCTTTTCTTCTTTACTTAAGTCGGGGAAAGAAATTCCTCAGCCCAGGCAGGCTACAGAGCCTGCCTCCTCCAGGACTAAGGATTTACTTCCGCATGCATCTGCTCTGTGTGAAAGCTCCACCGGTCATTGTGCAGCCCACAGCCCCTGGTGCTTACCAGACTTGGCCCCGTCAGGTGGCAGGAGCCCACAGATAAGGTTGATGCCTTCATCACCCAGCATGCAGTCTCCTAGATCCAGAGCCACCAGCGAGGGGTGGATGGAGAGAGCAGGGTTGAGGAGGGCCAAGCCTGCATCTGTCAGGGGACTCCCATGGAGGCTGTGCGGGTAAAAGGTAAAATTACTGTGGAGCCTTCTTCCTGGGGGCTAACTAACCTGGCAGGAGGGAGAAGCAGATGAAACGAGGAGAACGACAAATCCTAACCCCAGGTGAGGAAAAAACGGTGGGAAGCCTCTGCTGTGAGGGTCAGCTGCCTGTTACGGTGGCCCTCGTCTCCTGGCCAGGATGAGGGGGTGCAGGGGATGCCGGCAGGGCAGGGGCAGCCCCCACTACCAGGGCAACCAGGTCGGAGAGGTCGAGACTGAAAGCCAGGGCCGTGCCCAGCTGGCGGGGGCAGAAGTGGCTCCCTCCCAGCCGGTTGAAGGGCGAGGGGTTACCCTCTGCAACGTCAAGGGCATTTTTCCTCCTACAAGATTTAAACTCAGGGGTGGCCCGGAGCTGCGAGCCCCAGAAAGACCCATCCCCATCCCAGAGGAAGGCAGGGACAGCCCCCGCCCCCCTGTACTCACAAGAGGGACTGGACGGAGCGGTTTGTCTTCAGGGCCTCGGCCAGCTGCTTGACGCGGTTGATGTTGGAGACGATGCCCAGGTTGAGGTTGAGCTGGGCCAGGGAGCGGGACTCGGCCGCCCCCCGGCAGACGTGCCCGAAGTCCCGCTCGGAGAGCTGGCAGCCCCGCAGCGACAGCAGCCGCACCGAGTTCTCCCGCAGGCTCTCGCAGATGTCCCGGATCTCGGCGCCCGACAGAGTCTCCCCGGAGATCTGGATGGACCCCGGCAGCATCTTCCCCCTGCTCGGGGAGCCGCCGCCCGCCGATCCCGTCGCGGCGGCTGGGCGCCGGGGGGGAACCGCGCTGCGCGCTGCGGGCCGGGGCGGGCTCCAACGCCGCTACCGCCGCCGCCTCCGCTGCCGCCGCCGCCGCCGCCGGGCAGTCCCGGCCCGGCCCACCGCGGCCCCGGGGGCGTCACCGCTCAGCCTTACCGGCGGCCGCCGGGCCGCCCCACTCCAACCGGCGGGGCCGCCGCCGCCGCCTCTCCGCGGGTGGCGAGACCCACGGGAGCCATCGGCGGGGACTAATCCGGACCGGCGCCGGGCTCCGACCACCTCGGGGCCGCGCCGCGCCCTCCCCGCTGAGCCAGCAGCGCTGGGCGGGGTCCGGCCAGCCCCGCCGCTCCCCGCCCCGCTCCGCCCGCACCTGCGGGGCTGCCCCGCCCTCCTCCCGGCCGCCGCTCCGGGCCCTCCTACCGCCCTGGGCGGGCCGCCACCTCCCACCGCCCTCCCCCGGCCCCCGCCGGGCGGGGCCGCCCGCGGGCGGGAGCGGGAGGGTGTGGCGGGAGCCCCCTCATCCCACCCCGACGCCATCTTGGGTGCCGGCGCCACTCGAAGCCCCTGAGCGGCGGCGCTGGTGCTCGCTGGTCCCTGCCTGTCGCCCCGAGGCCATGGCGGGGCCGGGGCTGCGTCCCCGGCGCTGAGGCGACTCAGGAGGGGAGGGAGGGTGAGAGAAGGCCCAGGGAAGGGCTCTCCCAGCCAGCCCCGCTCCCACCTGGGGAAGGGGCCGAAGCCGTTGGGCTGTGGCATTAGTCTGGGTGCTTCTTGGTCTGAGGAACTGCAGTCTTCTCCCAGCTTCGGTGACTTCTATGCTTAAACCCGCTACACCTCGAGCTTGGACCCATGGCTTAATGGCGAGGTGGGTGTGGGCCACTCCTCATGGCCCAGTGCTGGTGGAGCCAGTGCTGGGAGGCAGCTGGTGAAAGGTGCAGGGTTGGGGAAAGTGCTGCAGGCTTCCTTATCCCTGCGGCACCCAGCCTACACCCTCAGCCTGACCTGAGGCGTGAGGGGTGTACCTCCCCCCCTGCTAATTCGCAGGTACAGATCGGAGGGATTTGTCCCCTCTCTCCCCCGTCAGGTAATCCTGAACTTGGAGAGGAATGGGAAGCAGGGCCCCTGCGTTTTCAGCTCTGCTGAGCTGAAAAGGGAAGCCAGTGATGTGGAAATTAGGTTAAACCGCCTAAGTAGGCAGCTTTCTGCACGTAACTAATCTGGCTGCTGCATATGCGCTCAAGCAAATTCCAGTCTGGTGGGTAACTCTGGGACAAACCCAGGCTCCTCTGGTTTGAAGGCCAGGGCGGGAAAGAGGGGATGGAAAGTGAGGGGAAAAATAGGATGTGGAGGAGGATGTGAAGCAGTTCTCTTCTGCTGAAATGGAGGAGCAGGTCACCTGAGCTGAGGGCTGCAGGTTAGGTCCTGAACGAGACAAAGGGAGAAGCAGATAAGAAGCTGGACTCGGGTGTCAGCTTTAAGACTTTGGCTGCAGCATCTAATTTACAGTGCAGGTGTCACAATGCCCTTTGAGCAATCCATTGCTGTTCTCTAGAGCTACCTACACACATCTCTGTTTCCTTGTTGTACAGGGGTGCCTGGGCTTGATACTGTGCCTGCAACACACGCCAAGAACAGACCCCTGGCCTGGCAACACATCTGTGCTGGAATATGAGCAGCAGCTGCAAGCATTCAGCTGTGGTACAGGTGATGGCTTTGAAAAAAGAAGCAACTGATCTCTAAGATCACACTAAATGGTCCAGGTGAGAACAGGATCCTATGTATTACAGGACTGTGAGGGGCAGAGGCTGGATGTCAGTGGTGGACAGGGGAATGGCTAGGAAAATAGCGGCTGCTGAGCTATGGGGGTTGACTGGAAGACTACACTCAGTCTCACCTCGTAGTTACCTCCAGGTGCTAATTAACCCATGCTTTGTTAAACAGGCTATTATTAGAGAAGTGCTTGGAGGTGAGCCCCTGGGACATGTCCCACTTCAATTGACAGCAGCAGCCCCCGAAGCATTAATGCCCTAGCTCTGGCAGCTTCACTGCCTATTGTCAGGAGCAAGAGCACATTGAGGAGACAAGTGTCCTACCTGGATTTATGCTCAAATACATTGGGAAAAGTGTCACACGAGCTAATGGTTCAAAGCTTTGGCTCAACTAAACCCAATTAAGGGCTGTGCAGAAGGGAATTTGGCAGTGGTATTTTGCAAAAAACTAGATATTGCTTTCTTGTCATGTGCAGTTACCCAGCAGGTATGAGGAAGGTAGTTTATTGTTTGCCTACTGGGGGCACAAAGAATGAGTTGACTCTCTAGAGGGATGCAATTAAGAGCTAACAAATAGACAAAAGGAGTGGACGAGGAGCAGTTAGAGTGAGACTAGATGCAGGAAGGAGGATAAATGGAAGAAGAAACAGCCTACCTGTAACCCAAAACACAATTAAGGAAGGTCACAATTAGTGCAACAAGGATGGACTGTAAGAAGGGTTGGACTCCCAGGTACTGCAGAGGAGAGGAGGAGGTCATAAATGCTTTAATATATATTTTATCTTCTTGTTTCTAATCTGACAGCTTTATATGTTTATCATATTGAATAAAAAGGGGCTTAAACAGTTTTCACAGAGCTACCCTTCCTCAAAAGAGGGGAGAGTTATTTCAGATTTGCTGCAAGGGAGGAATGAGAAAATTATTTTAGATTTGCTGCAAGAGCCATTGCAGGAAACAACGGCAGAGATAGGCTGGCATGATAGGGCTGTGAGGCTTGTCCTGATAACTAGAGGACTTGAGTAAGCAGTGAGATGCCCTCCCACAAGGACTTTACTAAGGCTGCGTGCTCAGCATGCTCAGCATGCTCCCTGGAACTGCAGCACACATGCATTTCCCTGCAAAAGTGTGTCCCCCCCTGTCAGCAGAAGGAGATGCTGAAGCTCTCAGCCAAGTACTGAATTTCTGGCAGTACTGAACAGTTCAGCTTCCAGCTGCTGCTGCACAGAGAATTAATCAGAGCTGAAGAACTGGAGCAAAGCAAGCCCCACAGCATCCAAGAGGGTGGTTGGTTGTCACCCTGGTCATCTGTCCTCAGCTGACATGACACACAAGCTGTGCAGGGGAAGCATAAAGTTTGTTTACTGCTCCTGTGCTTTGAGTGAAAACACAGGGCACAGCTTCATCCCTCTGATTTAGCCAAGTGGCTAGGTGCAGGAGGGGAGCACAGCTCTTCTCCAACAGTGTAGATTAACCATGATAGTTTGGTGCAGAATGATTTTTCTTCCTGACTGGACTTAGTCTAGTGACAATTGTGTCTTTCTCCTCTCCTTCCCTCCTGCCTGTGCTTGGAGAGTTTGCACCAAGAGAAACAGACCAGTTCTAGGCTGCCAGGGCAAGAAGTGTGAATTAGAAACCAGCCTCCTGTGGAGTTATAAAGAGGGAAATACCAGAGTCAGTGTTACAAACTCCATTTTTCCAGCATTACATGCCTCCATTTTGTCAAGTTTGAAAGTAATAGAAATTCTAGGAGCTTGAAGTGGTTCAATTGGTCCAAAAAATGTGAAGACTACTATCCCAAATAATTAATTTGATTCCCCCAAATAACTTGCTCTGAATGGTGTTCTTTAGCCAAAATAAGTTTCCCAAGGGGCGTGGGGGGAAAGAGTGAGAGAATATGTCTATTATATGTGTGCTTGCTAGCAGATGAGCTTCTTGCTCTTGGAAGGGGAACAAACCATGAACTCAGGAATAAGCAAACAGTGGAAAGTAGATCTGTGACTGAAAATGCTGAAGTCCTATCTGGTGACATTTTTGTTTTAACGGAAGCAGATGACGAGCCTGACGACAATAGCTGGCACTATCTTCCTCTCTTTCATTGCACCTTGGCAGTAGTCTGAATCACACTACAGCTGCATCCTCTCGCACTAATATAAGCAAAGGACCAAAGAATACAGTTCTGACATGCTATCTGCCTTGTGCACAGCTAACTTGTGAGTACACTAAGGAAGGGAAACATCTTTTTTTTTTTTTTAGCCTGAGCATAACGGTGAACTTCTCTGAGGGGTGGTGGCTTCTCTCCTCTCATCACCCAGAGCTACAGGGAGAAAAGGTGAAAGCCAGTTATCAGCCAACAGGGAAGGCTACATCTGAACTACTCAATCATGAGTTACTGCAGTGCAAGTAAATCTTGGCTGGGATGCTCTGTTTCTTCATCCTTACTGGAGCCTTCCTGCATCAGTATGCTGGAGATAAATGTGCCAACTCTATTACCATTGCACATTCCCTCAATTTCTCCCTTTGTTTAATGGAAACACTGGAGAAAATTTTGCCAGAGACTCAGGGCTCTAGGAGTCCTTTCAGTAATAAGGCATAGACTTGCCTTGAAAAGCCAGACAGTACACAGGAAACAGTGTGTCTGGGGGGAGCAGAATGCTGCTCCTGCTCAGACGAATGAGGTCTCCCATGGCTGGCAGACATGAGAGCAAGCTGCGTGAGAGTGGGCTGAACTAGCCGCCTAACAGAAATATCCAGAGAAGACCATGCACAAACATGCTGCCCCTGCAGTCAGAACTGCTGTCCCATGGAGCAACATTGGGCAGAAGGGTGGCAAGAACAAAAGGTGCTGTGAAAACATGGGGACGTACATTTCTGACATACACATGAGAACGGATGGTGATGTGAGAGAGCAGCTTGGAGCAAGTCAAATGAGAGGATTAAGTGTGGAACGTGACAAGGAAGAGCATGTGGTTAAACATCGTGCTGTTCCTGAAAATCTCCAGAAAAACTAAAGTTCCTGTGCCTCTTGGGCTAGAGAAAAGGTGCCCAAGACAGGCCACATATCACAGAACATTTGAAGTAGGACGGCAGAAAATTGCCAACAATCCTGCTTTGAGTCTAGGGCAGGACAGATAAAGGCACAGAGACCCAACCCAACAGCACTCTCCCATTACACAAGTAGGCTCAAACGTAAGACATCACTCAGCACCAACATCAATTTAATTCTTCCCTCGTCAGGACAGGAACAGGGCAGATACCTTGGAGTTACATCAGCAAGCGGAAAGAGGGGTAAGGGACAAACTGCACTGGGAAATCCCAGCTAAACATGCAGGCAACAGAACCGCTCTACTCAAGACAGCCCAGACCTGGGTGGGGGAAGAGTGGAGTTCTTCCGAGTCACTGAGGTGCAGTCCACGCAGCTACCCAAAACTGCAACCCAAAGGACAGGTCCAGGAAAAGAAACCCAAGTCTTTGTCCTGCTGTTCTGTCCTGTTCCTAAGAGGCAGCAGGTTATTATGGCCCTATGCAGCCCCAAAAGTAGTGAAGGAAGCAAGTCCAAGTCTGTGAAACTACAGGGTCAATGCAATGGCTTTGGCTGTTGTGTTC